CTATACAAATAATTCATTTTTTTAAATTTATAATAAATATTTGTAATTTTTTTAAAACCATTTTAATACTAACACGTTTTCTGCATTAATTGTATTTTTTTTTTTGATAAATTATATTTTCAATTAAAGCAATGTATTTTAAATTAGTGTCAAATGAATGTCATGTTTGATATTCCATGAGAAGACTTTCCAATCTACGTTTCTTAGGCATAGCTTCTAATTTAGCAGCATCCATTGCATCAACAATGGAATAGACATTAAGTTCATCAGGTATTTTCACCTATAAGTGGTGTACAGAAACATTCTATACCTAACTTTAATTAATTTTTATGATAATTACTGTGCAATAAAACCTAACTATACAAGTGAAAAAATATTAAGACATACAAGAAGTAAGTTGATGTAATGTTCATAATTGATTCTTTTTGTTTCTGAATCACATGCAATTGACATCATATTGTTTATTTCTGCTTTTGAAAGTGGTTCTCCAATTTCCATCATTGCTTTTTCTAAATCATCGTGCATAATATATCCTCGATTTTCAGGATCTAATAATTGGAATGCTTTTAACAAATCTTCTGGTTCTGCTGGTTTAAATCTAGGTGAAAGCAAACAATTATACATTATCAAATTTAATGTAAAAATAAAAAATATGCATAGATATAAACGTCATATTGTTCTTATCTTTTAATGAAGCTGAGCTTCATGAGCAACTTACTTGCGTTCATTAATAACATTGCACATGTACTCTAGAAACCTATCTAATGGTACACAATTTTTTACTACATCTTCTACTTGAACTTGTATTTCTTGCAATTCTGCTTCGGTAATAACACATCCTAATGCCCTAATAATAGTTCCCAAATCTCTAACATCTATCTCACCAGTTTTTGCAGTATCAAATACATCAAATATTTCGCAAAGTCTCTTTTCTAGTAATGATGTTTCTGCGACAGACACTGCACATAAATAACATAATTAAGTATGCAAATAAAAATAAGATACTTTACAAAAGTATATATTGCAAAATTAAAATCCGAAATAAAGTAACAACAACTATATGAAATAATAAAATATATATGAAAACAGATATCTTACTAATAGTTTTATCTAAATATACACTAATATATGGAATTAGCTATACCTATAATTGTTTGATCAATATAGTGTTAATGTAGTTGTGTACACAAGCTTTTATACATATGAAATTAATCTTACTTCTTTATAATGTA